GCAGAGGCCGGGGGCTAGAGTGAGGAACGGCCGGAGGGCTAGAGTGAGCAGAGGTCGAGGGCTAGAGTGAGGAACAGCCAGAGGGCTAGAGTGAGCAGAGGTCGGGGGTTAGAGGGAGGAACAGCCGGAGGGCTAGAGTGAGCAGAGGTCGGGGGCTAGAGTGAGGAACAGCCGGAGGGCTAGAGTGAGCAGAGGCGGCGGGCTTGAGAATGGCACGGCCGGTGGATTTGACGAAGGAGCGTCCGGAGGGCTAGCGGCAACCACACGTGACGACCCCGGGCTGGACTCCGCTTCGTCCACGGTGAAAGCAGATCCGGTGATCCACAGTGCAAAGTTGATGTATTTCCTCAGCGACCAGCACGGATCAGCTCCAGGCATGATGAAGCCATATCATCCTTTTTTGGAAGGCCAAACAAAGTAGTTTCGCTTTCACAACGAATCACACATTTGGGCGGCGTTATGCAAATCTTCCCACATCGTGACGTAGACATGTGGGGGCGTGTTAGAACGAGCCGTTTTAGGTAGGCGTGGCTGACTTTTAACTTTTATAAAGAATATCTCTTTGGATTTGAGACTTTAGTCTTTGCAACTTTACAGATCTTTATGCACCAAGAGCTTGTAACACTCCAAAGAGAAAGGACAATTTGAAATCTCATCATATGACCCCTTTAAAACGAAGTCTCAAACAAAAGATTTCAATTCATTGCAAAACAAAAGCAAGTGTGAGAGTGCTTCAGAGAGTCATATCACAAACTATTTAAATGTAGAGATTATATTTCATAATCTACATCATCCTCTCTCACCTGGCGAAGGATGAAGCTGGTCGATGTCGTACTACCGTCAGATCTCTTAAGTCGACTGCGCCGTGAGTAGGTGCCTCTGTTCACCTGCGGCAAAAGAACAAGCTATTAATCTATTCCTCTTCTACCGGCAGAACAGGGACACATTCATACAAACACATACACCCACATATCCTACCACAACACTGTTCCCATTGAGGGGTCTCAATGGGGTCTGTTAGCTACAGAACTTACTGTCAGAGTCAAATGAACTGGCAAAAGCATTTCAACGATTAATCACTTGCATTAATCATCGCTGTTTTGTACGTCAGTATGAAACCTACAGCTAAATACAGCAGACATAAGGATCTTTGACCTATCCTGGGTGTTACGTGACTAAAAGCTTGACAGATAAGGAGATTCTATTGAGATAGATGTCAAAGCGCATCACCACAAGGAAGCTGAACTCTGCAGAGCCACATAGACATCAATGCAATGTGTTGAGCAGGCGAAACTGCCCTTCAGTATATGGCTGGCCGCAATGCAGTCCTCCATCGAACCACTTCTGAGTAGATCATGCGGTTAAAATATATAGTAGTTTGTTGTGCAAGAAACATAAATGTTATGGCCATCGGCTGCATAGGAAGCACTGATGCTTACAAACTGGTTCAGGTCATGCGTTCTTTACAGGGAAATCAATGAGAACATTAATTATTTATAAGCCTAATTAAAGACCAATAGATCAAACTGGCATCCATTAATCTTTAGCACATTCGGGATTTGGTTTTAATGATCCTTTTAATTGTATAATCAGCCTGTGTAGAGTAAAGGGAGTGTTCACCCCAAAATGAGAATTTTCTCGACATTTACCCACCAACATGACTCTCTTGCTTAGGTAGAACACAAAAGAAGGTGACAGAATGACAGACTCAGTCACCATTTACTTACACTGTATGGGAAAAAAAGCAATAAAAGTGAATGGTGACTGAGGCTGTCAGTCCCTAACACCTTTTTCACAGAAAAAAAAAGTCATTTGAGTTTGGAACATCATTAAGGTGAGCAAATCTCTCTTCCTTCGGCTTGCTCCCTTTTTTATCAGGGGTCCATTAAGGTGAGCAAATGATGACCATTTTTTATTTTCAGACGTACTGTCCTTTTATGCTATTATTCCACATAATATATAAGTTTAAAACACAAAACATAGGAATTTTACTGTGACACTACCATGGTTTCTTGACTATTTATCATGTCAATAGCTTTTTTTTTTTTTTGGACATGTATCATGTCATTCTTTCATGTACATCCAATTACAGTAGTATATGAAAATTCCATCTGAACCAACAATAAATGTAACAACATCAAGTCATCCATCATAAGTTAATGGAAATATTACAAGGACATTCAGAGGTTTGTATTACAAGTGGAAAAACTAAAACACAAACATGACATAACAACAATGCAAGTGTTTGGTGCAGATATGCAATTTACATATACACACACACACACACACACACACACACACACACACACACACACCTGTACAACTTGTATAAAGTACATCTATGCAGTGTACAAAATTCAAAGATAATGTTTGCAATGCAGTATTACAGATCATCTCTGCTTCAACATATGACAAGTTTTAAACATATGAATTATGAATATTCAAATTAGTCATTTCAAATGAGTGGGGGCATGTTGTCATTGTTGGCAGACTAGAAAGAAATATGTGTATTATGGATCAATTTAAAGTCGTTGGATCCTATAAAGACAAACAGAACTATGTGTGTTTGGTGCAGATTCCCATCGCATTATCACCTTCTCCCGCGTCCTTACCTGAAAAATCGGCTTCTGAACCCCGTCGCTTATCCCGTGTCGGGTGTAGATGTGCCGGGACATTTCTGCGAGTTCATCGGTCCACGGAGGTGGCTGCCTTTCGGTCCCGGTCCACTGGCTCGGCGGAGGAGGATATTGAACTGTTTGCTCCAGTTTCGCTGCGGTGTCCGCGGTCCGAGGACGAGGCTTGTGCGCGCTGAGCTCTCGGTGACTGATGCAGTGTGTGCAGCTGTAGTGTAGCTCGGTCACCACTAGAGCAGCATCACGAGCTAACTTACTGTACAGCGTATTTAGCTGCTCGACAGAGGTCATCAGATATTATGCAGATATTAATGTGTTGTTGGCAAGACCTCCCCTCCTCAAAAAAACAAAACAAAACAACCTGAGCTAAAAGCAAAGGCTAATGATTAGAAGAAAATAGTATTAGATTTCAAACTACTAAATTTAAGTTACTTCATATGTTTTATAAACATGAAATATTAAAAATTATTAACTGCAGTTTGATCGATGTGCATGGTCTCCCAGGTATAGATTCATCAGAACATCAGATGAAAAACATGAGAATTACTGTAGGACATGTCTTTTTTTAATGGTGCATGCTGTATCTACAAAGAGCTGATAAGGAGATGCTAAATTGCAGAGGGATTTATATCATACACAGCTGTAGCTGCTTTTCCTAGAGACTCTATGAGGATTCACCCATGAGGTTGGTAATTAGTAGCATATCAGCTGTGCAAGAAGATTAGCAAGAAGATTTTAACAAAACCTAACCAGATATGATGCACAAATTCTGTCAAATAAAACGGAATAATTAACATTCAGCATCTCCAAATCAAGGGGGATTTATATCATACACAGCTGTAGCTGCTTTTCCTAGAGACTCTATGAGGATTCACCCATGAGGTTGGTAATTAGTAGCATATCAGCTGTGCAAGAAGATTAGCAAGAAGATTTAACAAAACCTAACCAGATATGATGCACAAATTCTGTCAAATAAAACGGAATAATTAACATTCAGCATCTCCAAATCAAGTGAGAATAGATCAGTTTGGGAGGACGCAGCACATGTTGAAACACAGGTAGTTTTTATTTTCTGAAGACTATAAGAGTTCACCGTGTTACAAAAGGAATTTGAAAAATGAGCGGGCAGGATACAAAGAAATCTTGATGTTACAAAACATTGAGTCCATGAGTACAATACAGATTTCTCTCTAAATCTCTTAAAACATACAGGTTTACAAATATACAGCAGCTTTTGAAATAAAGTCTTTTGAATTGGTCTCTATGTTTATTCCGTCTCGAGAAAGAACAAGGCATCTGGTGGTAAATAAATGTTTATAAAGTTAAGGTGCAATACAGACAAAGCCAGATATTTAACATCTAATATACAAAAAAAAAAAATTCAGAGCAGTTTATGAAAAAAATAAAGACAATTTTCATCATTTTTTTTACTACATAAATCCCATTTTAACGAGAATGAAAGCTGTCTATATGTTAAAGGAATTATACATTTCCCCATTTCAGTTAAGAAGAAATGGGTGGGTATATCAGAAAAGCACATTTCTTCACATACATAAGAAGCTAAAAAACAACAATTAATTCATCATTTCCAGCTGAGGAGTCATAGACCAGATGAAAATTACACTGTATGCAATTTTACATGCCTTAAATTAAGTCAAACAACAGCAAACACCCACAATGCAAACATAAGCGGTACTTGCATATTATACATATTATACAGTGAAACATATGGATTGACCATAAAGGGATTGCAGTTGTGACCACTGTCAGTTCTAAAGGAATTTAAGAATATTACATGTAGCCAGTAATAAACTGTGTCCTTACTAAATCGGTCCCATAATTTTGGAATCACTAACAGCAGAATGAACCGAAAACTGCCATTTTGATTGTAGGGGTTTATAGAAGTGCTTGGAGTATTGGCACATAAATTCATTCCAGATTTGGTGATCCATGTATAATCTTCTTCATACAATCATCCTCTCTTATAGTGCATAAAAACCCACATTTGCTTTGAAAGGAAAGAAATCAAAGTCTTGGGTCAGTTAACCCAGAAATAAATGAAAATGGCAACAATTAATCATAAGATTTGTCTCTTCAAATGAGGAAAGGTATGCATGTATGTGCATTTTACTATGTTATCTTAAATTCTCAATCAGCAAAAAGAAGAATATGCTGGTGATTATCACAAGACGACAAAAATTATGTTTATTGTTTATGATATTGTTATGTTTATGATGTTAGTGTGACTCATTCCATCAACTCTGAACACCTGCCCTAAACTGCTTCATGTGTTAGCAAGTGCTTGCTTCCTTTCAAGTGGATTACATCTTTGTCCTGTGAAGACAAATGTCAGCGAATCTTTGCATACCCCCTGACATCGATAGAGACGTAAGAGAAAAATACTCTCGACCTCATTTCACCATTTGGAATTTGCATTGAATATTAATGGCTGTGGAGTCAGCCTTACATAAGGGGTTGCTGGTAGAAGGCTGCTTGTTGCTGCTGAGGTGCAGGTTGGGCCAGAGCGGACATCGGATAGGAGGCTGGAGGCAGACCAGGATTAGCGTTCTGATAGGCAGACATGTCCATAGCCATGCTCATCTGTGGTGGGTAAGGGGCGGGGGCTCCAGGAGCATGGTTTACATATGCTGCATTCATGGGGCCGCTGCAGGAAATAAGCAATTTGCAGAAATTTAAGGCTAGTTTTCCAAACACCACTATCAGAATGATACATTTTAAACAAAGCCATCTAAAAAAAGCCTATGTTGACAAGTACACTGCCCGGCATCATGTGCTGATTCCAAAAATAGTGTCCGTTTTGCTCTAGCTCATCGCACTTTCTGAGAAAATATGATGCGCATTGTTTCATTTTTGCTTTTACAACCATTTGTAAGGTGAAGAAGTCTTGTATTATCCCTTGACAGTTTAAAACTATTTGTACAATCTCATCTGAAGACATTATGTTATGCCTATTCCTGATTTCAAGGTTAGCACAAGCAAACATGGCCCATATTTCCATCAATTCACATCTTGTGAAGCAAAACGCTCTGTTTGTAAGAAACAAATCCATCAAGACATTTTTTTAACTTCAAACAATTAGTCTTCTATCCATAATATTGCTTTCTCCAGAGAAAACGTCATCAGGAGAGAAATCAAGCACCGCTTACAAGCGATAACAATCTAAAACAGTTCTAAACAAATACATATGTGGATTTTGATGTGAGAAGACTCCATGTTGATGTTGATATGTTTATTATAAAACGCAGCTTTTCACATCACAAGACGTTAATTGATGGACTGGAATCATGTGGATTACTTGTGAATTATCGTGGTGTTTTTAACAGCCATTTGAACTGTCATTCCGGCGGCACCCATTCACTGCAGAGAATCCATTTGTAAACAAGCTAATGCTACATTTCTTCAAATCTGTTGTGATGAAGAATCAAACACATCTACATCTTGGATGGCCTGAAGGCGAGTCAGTTGTCAGCAAACGCTTGTTTTTGGGTGAAATATTACTTTAAACAAATACAGTAAACTATTGAAGATGGAGAATGGGAGCTTCCGTGCGTTTGCGCTCAGGTGCTGGTTTTCTCAGCGTTGTCAAAATAAAAGTCCCACTACTGACACTTAGCAGCCAAACAGAAAAACGTACTGGTCAATGCCGATAATTAAAAAAATATATATCAACACATCTGCCTCTGTGATAAACTTAGTGGAAAACTAATACAATTTTCTTCATTCACTGTTTGAATGGACATGATTAGATTTTTTGAATAGAAGGCGAAAATTGCATATATAGGAATAAAAGACAAGGCCAAAGTTGCTTCAAAATTAGAGGTAGACTAGATTACCTGATGTAAGGAGGTTGTGTTGGCTGGCTGGTGGGCACTGAATTGACTGAAGGAGGAAGGGAGCAGAGAGGTCCAGCTTGGTCCGTAAGACTATATCCCTGTGGAACACCAGAGGACATGTAGGCTCCAGATGGCTGATAACCCTGAAAGAGATAAGAAATAATAAATTAAGAAGTCAGAATAATACAAATCAGAATTGTCTGTGTCACAAAATATAATGGACTGAATTGGCACTAATTCTCTATTTAAATGGCAAAGCAAACCTGCATAGCGAGAGGAGTAGGGGCTCCTGGGTAAGTGCCTTGGAGACTCTGCATTTTGGAGTATGCATTGTAAAGAGGAGCCTCATTCATTAGCTGGTTATACAGTTCCAGAGCCTCCAGCAACTTCACATTCAGCTCGGACAACTCTGAGTGCTTCCTGCAGGAATGAGAGCGAGAAGTTTTTCCTCATATGCAAAAGACTGAAAAAACAGCCAACCTATTCTGGCGTAAGTTTTGATTTCAACAAACCTGTCGATTTCTTGTAGTTTCTCATCAATCATCGGGTTCATCTTTTCACAAGCATCTAGAAGAACACAACAAAAGATTAACACTCTGGAATTGGGTCTAGCATCATTTACTCAGAGGAACTGTCAGGTTCAATGATCTTGTGTGCAATGTAACATTTGACAGTAGAATTGTGTAACTGTGATAAAATACCTAGCAAAGTTTTTTATATTTTAACTAAAAAAAACTAATTTACATTTATAACACTATTCTTTGCATTTTATTACCTTGGCAGTAAAAACAATGCATGCCGCTGCGTAGGTGTTTCTAACACAACAGATGTGACAAGAAATTTGACATTTTTCTCTTTTCTGGCCAATGTAATCAATCTCTCAATATTTCTTCCTCAACATTTTCTTTTGCTTTTGAAACAAATGGGAATGCAAAAATATATTTCACTACTATAGAAGTTTATCCAACTATTACAAATTCTGTTTCTGAGAAACATGGAGTTTAAACAAGAGCTCAAGAAGGGTCTTCCTCGTACCTTCTAATGTGAGCAGCTCCGGGCCGTCAGGTGAGGCATCTGCAGGGTCTGTGTTCTGGAGCAGGTAGAGAGTTTTGTCCATTTTCTCCTGTAGGGAACAGAGTCAGTGATTAACACAAGACAAGAGAACTTCACCAAGAGCCTGTTGATCATATCAGTTACGCTTCTCTAGATAAGTGGAGACATGTGGCCAAAGATCATCCGGCACTCACCTCATCTATATACACAGGTTCAGGCTCAGCTTTGACTTCAACGATGGGCTCCTCTGGGGCTACTGTCTTCTCTACATACATCACTACAGGAAAGAGAATTCAGGAGATATGTATGCGTAATCTGCATAGAAAAAAATGCATTATTCCTGTACAAAAAAAACAAGGTTATAAAGTGTATTACCAGGGTCTGGTTCGGCATTCAGGTTGGTGGTGACAAAGTTTGATGGGAAGAGGCCTACTCCTCGATGATTCTCTCCTTTCCACCAGTTTGGATCACTGTTGGATAACAGCGACATTACTTCTCAATGGACAATGGGTTATGGGAAATTTAAAGACAGCATTAACAAATTAAATTGTAAATGAAATTATTTCTACACACAACACTTATAAAATAACGTCCTTGAACGATCAGTTTACCTGTCATCAAGGATGATCACAAGCTCTCCAGCCTTAAAAGTGAGCTCATTGTCTTCCGCTGCTTCAAAATCATAGAGGGCACGCACTTTACGGGACTCTTTCCCTCCGTTGGTGTTGTAGGGTGGATCAGCTATCATGGTAAGGGGTCGTGTCTCTGCCTGCTGTTTCTGTTCCTGTAGGGACAGCTCAATGGCTGCATCGAGCAAAATACATACACTCATTATCTTGGTACAGAGGACTATAGCTTGATTCCACAGTTACGATGCCAAAGATTTTTATTGATGCTTAGGCAGGGGCCCAAAATCATTAGTCAGACAAGACTAAATAAATGATAATAACAAAAAAAGTATATGAAAGTACATTAGCATGAAGAGTCTCTCACCTTTGGCCAGATCATCATCATCAGCTGCTTTGCTGGTGGCAGGAGTGCTGCTGGGCTTTGTGCTGGAGCTCTGCAAGTAGAGATCACGTTACAACTGATTTGCAAAAAAGACATTTTATATATATATATATATATATATATATATACACTGCCGGGTTTTTTTTATGTTTTTTAAAGAAGTCTCTTCTGCTCATCAAGGCTGCATATATTTGATCAAAAATACAGAAACAAAAGTAATATTGTGAAACATTATTGCAATTTAAAATACCGGTTTTCTAAAAAGTTAAAAAGAACAGCATTTATTCAAAATACAAATCTTTTCTAACAATATAAGTCTTTACTATCACTTTGTATCAATTTAACACATCTTTGCTGAATAAAAGTATTCATTTCTTTTTAAAAACTTTTACATCTTGTGAAGCAAAACGCTCTGTTTGTAAGAAACAAATCCATCAAGACATTTTTTTAACTTCAAACAATTAGTCTTCTATCCATAATATTGCTTTCTCCAGAGAAAACGTCATCAGGAGAGAAATCAAGCACCGCTTACAAGCGATAACAATCTAAAACAGTTCTAAACAAATACATATGTGGATTTTGATGTGAGAAGAATCCATGTTGATGTTGATATGTTTATTATAAAACGCAGCTTTTCACATCACAAGACGTTAATTGATGGACTGGAATCATGTGGATTACTTGTGAATTATCGTGGTGTTTTTAACAGTCATTCCGGCGGCACCCATTCACTGCAGAGAATCCATTTGTAAACAAGCTAATGCTACATTTCTTCAAATCTGTTGTGATGAAGAATCAAACACATCTACATCTTGGATGGCCTGAAGGCGAGTCAGTTGTCAGCAAACGCTTGTTTTTGGGTGAAATATTACTTTAAACAAATACAGTAAACTATTGAAGATGGAGAATGGGAGCTTCCGTGCGTTTGCGCTCAGGTGCTGGTATTCTCAGCGTTGTCAAAATAAAAGTCCCACTACTGACACTTAGCAGCCAAACAGAAGCCGGGTTTTTTTTATGTTTTTTAAAGAAGTCTCTTCTGCTCATCAAGGCTGCATATATTTGATCAAAAATACAGAAACAAAAGTAATATTGTGAAACATTATTGCAATTTAAAATACCGGTTTTCTAAAAAGTTAAAAAGAACAGCATTTATTCAAAATACAAATCTTTTCTAACAATAGAAATATTTGCTATCACTTCTTATCAATTTAACACATCCTTGCTGAATAAAAGTTTTAATTTCTTTCAAAAAAAGAAATAATAAAAATGTACTGACCCCAAACTTTTCATATGTGGATTTTGATGTGAGAAGACTCCATGTTGATGTTGATATGTTTATTATAAAACGCAGCTTTTCACATCACAAGACGTTAATTGATGGACTGGAATCATGTGGATTACTTGTGAATTATCGTGGTGTTTTTAACAGCCATTTGAACTGTCATTCCGGCGGCACCCATTCACTGCAGAGAATCCATTTGTAAACAAGCTAATGCTACATTTCTTCAAATCTGTTGTGATGAAGAATCAAACACATCTACATCTTGGATGGCCTGAAGGCGAGTCAGTTGTCAGCAAACGCTTGTTTTTGGGTGAAATATTACTTTAAACAAATACAGTAAACTATTGAAGATGGAGAATGGGAGCTTCCGTGCGTTTGCGCTCAGGTGCTGGTATTCTCAGCGTTGTCAAAATAAAAGTCCCACTACTGACACTTAGCAGCCAAACAGAAAAACGTACTGGTCAATGCCGATAATTAAAAAAATATATATCAACACATCTGCCTCTGTGATAAACTTAGTGGAAAACTAATACAATTTTCTTCATTCACTGTTTGAATGGACATGATTAGATTTTTTGAATAGAAGGCGAAAATTGCATATATAGGAATAAAAGACAAGGCCAAAGTTGCTTCAAAATTAGAGGTAGACTAGATTACCTGATGTAAGGAGGTTGTGTTGGCTGGCTGGTGGGCACTGAATTGACTGAAGGAGGAAGGGAGCAGAGAGGTCCAGCTTGGTCCGTAATATAAGTCTTTACTATCACTTTGTATCAATTTAACACATCTTTGCTGAATAAAAGTATTCATTTCTTTTTAAAAACTTTTGAACAGTAGTGCATATTGTTAGAAAAGATTTCTATTTTGAATAAATGCTCTTTTTTAACTTTTTATTCATCAAAGAAAAAAGTATTACAGGTTATAAAAAAAAAAAAATTAAGCAGCACAACTGTTTTCAACATTGATAATAAATCGGCATATTAGAATGATTTCTGAAGGATCATGTGACACTGAAGACTGGAGTAATGATGCTGAAAATTCAGCTTTGCATAATAGGAATAAATTAGATTTTAAATTATATTAAAATAGAAACCCATTATTTTAAATTCCAATAATATTTCACAATATTACAGTTCTGTATTATATATTTTTATATTATATTATACACAATATTATATTTTTTGTATTTTTGATTAAATTAAATGCAGCCTTGATGAGCAGAAGAGACTTCTTTAAAAAAAAACATTAAAAATCTTTGCATAATAGGAATAAATTAGATTTTAAATTATATTAAAATAGAAACCCATTATTTTAAATTCCAATAATATTTCACAATATTACAGTTTTGTATTATATTTTTTTATATTATATTATACACAATATAATATTTTTTGTATTTTTGATTAAATTAAATGCAGCCTTGATGAGCACAAGAGACTTCTTTAAAAAAAAAAAACATTAAAAATCTTACTGATCCCAAACTTTTGAACGGCAGTGTAAGTCTATTTATCCTTATCTATTATATATACATACACACTACAATTCACAAGTTTGGAATATGTACAGTTTTTTTTTTATGTTGCTAAAGAAGTCTTATGCTCACCAACGCTGCATTTGTTTGATCAAAAATACAGAAAGAACAGTAATATTGTGAAATATTTTTACAATTTAAAAGAACTGTTTCTATTTGAATATGTTTTAAAATGTAATTTATTCCTGTGATGGCAAAGCTGAATTTTTTCATTGTGTTCGTTTGTCCCACTTTTGCTGCCAAAACATCCCTGAACCATCGAGGCACGGACTCCACTAGACCCCTGAAGGTGTGCTGTGCTATCTGGCACCAAGATGTTAGCAGCAGATCCTTTAAGTCCTGTAAGTTGCGAGGTGGGGCCTCCATGGATCGGACTTGTTTGTTCAGCACATCCCACAGATGCTCGATTGGATTGAGATCTGGGGAATTTGGAGGTCAAGTCCAAGTTGTGCTCCTCAAGCCATTCCTGAATCATTTTTGCTTTGTGGCAGGGCGCATTATCCTGCTGAAAAAGGCCCCAGCAACCAGGGAATACGGTTTCCATGAAAGGGTGTACATGGTCTGCAACAATGCTTAGGTAGGTGGTATGTGTCAAAAAGTAACATCCACATGGATGGCACGATCCAAGGTTTCCCAGCAGAACATTGCCCAAAGCATCACACTGCCTCCACCGGCTTGCCTCCTTCCCATAGTGCATCCTGCTGCCATGTGTTCCCCAGGTAAGCGGCGCACGCGCACACTGCCATCCACGTGATGTAAAAGAAAACATGATTCATCAGACCAGGCCACCTTCTTCCATTGCTCCGTGGTCCAGTTCTGATGCTCACGTGCCCAGTGTTGGCGCTTTCGGCGTCGGTGGACAGGGGTCAGCATGGGCACCCTGACTGGTCTGCGGCTATGCAGGCCCATACGCAACAAACTGCGATTCACTGTGTATTCTGACACCTTTCCATCAGAACCAGCATTAACTTCTTAAGCAATTTGAGCTAGAGTAGGTTTCTTTGATGAATAAAAAGTTCAGAAGAATGGCATTTATCTGAAATAGAAATCTTTTGTAACATTTTAAATGTCTTCATCATCCCTTTTGATCAATTTAAAGCATCCTTGCTAAATAAAAGTATTAATTTCTATAATTTCTCCACCCCCCCACACAAAAACATTATACTGACTTCAAGCTTTTGAATGGTATAATGTATAATACTACAAAAGCTTTTTATTCCAGATAAATGTATATTTTGCACAACTGTTATACGAACACAGAACTATAATGCCATCTATAGGCGTACCAGAGCAAATACTCAAGGAAAAAAAAAAAAAAAAATTTAAAAAAGTAGGTTTTTGAGATAACATTTACATGACGACCTCTGAGTGACACAGTAAAGTCTTGTGACCCATTTTATGTAGTCGGTACTGATTAACAGCTATGGAAATGTTTACATGCACTTGTCCTTTTGTCAAACAAAATGAGCTAACAATAAATGAAGGAAAAGAATAACAAAGAAGAATTGACATCTCATGGGCCACGAGGGAAGTGTGGCAAATATGTGACAGGAAATTCCATTCTGTCTGCTTGATTCTCGTCTCAAGTTTACACACATGCTTCAGCATTCCAGACACACTCAGCTGATTTATACGCCTCTAACCTAGATAGCTAAAGTGTTAGCAGACATGTCATGTGAGGAACAGTGGTCATGTTTAGTCACATGATTAATTTATGATTCATCTCTCATAGAGAGGTGGCTGACTATTGGTTATTAACTATGGGCATTTATGGTATACTTTTAATGTATCTTTAAAAACAACATGTCAGTTTTCAAAGATTGACTAAACAAAACAGTAAAAACAAAGAGAAATCACCCCATAATAAAATCAAAATAAAAAGCTGGCGATTGCTTACACACTACCGTTCAAGAGTTCTATCGATTTTTTCAGTGATGGCAAAGCTGATTAGCTGGAGCCATTACTCCAGTTTTCAGTCTCACATGATTCTTCAGGTTCCCCAGGTAAGCGGCGCACGCGCACACTGCCATCCACGTGATGTAAAAGAAAACATGATTCATCAGACCAGGCCACCTTCTTCCATTGCTCCGTGGTCCAGTTCTGATGCTCACGTGCCCAGTGTTGGCGCTTTCGGCGTCGGTGGACAGGGGTCAGCATGGGCACCCTGACTGGTCTGCGGCTATGCAGGCCCATACGCAACAAACTGCGATTCACTGTGTATTCTGACACCTTTCCATCAGAACCAGCATTAACTTCTTAAGCAATTTGAGCTAGAGTAGGTTTCTTTGATGAATAAAAAGTTCAGAAGAATGGCATTTATCTGAAATAGAAATCTTTTGTAACATTTTAAATGTCTTCATCATCCCTTTTGATCAATTTAAAGCATCCTTGCTAAATAAAAGTATTAATTTCTATAATTTCTCCACCCCCCCACACAAAAACATTATACTGACTTCAAGCTTTTGAATGGTATAATGTATAATACTACAAAAGCTTTTTATTCCAGATAAATGTATATTTTGCACAACTGTTATATGAACACAGAACTATAATGCCATCTATAGGCGTACCAGAGCAAATACTCAAGGAAAAAAAAAAAAAAACATTTACATAAGTAGGTTTTTGAGATAACATTTACATGACGACCTCTGAGTGACACAGTAACGAACACAGAACTATAATGCCATCTATAGGCGTACCAGAGCAAATACTCAAGGAAAAAAAATAAAAAAAACATTTACATAAGTAGGTTTTTGAGATAACATTTACATGACGACCTCTGAGTGACACAGTAAAGTCTTGTGACCCATTTTATGTAGTCGGTACTGATTAACAGCTATGGAAATGTTTACATGCACTTGTCCTTTTGTCAAACAAAATGAGCTAACAATAAATGAAGGAAAAGAATAACAAAGAAGAATTGACATCTCATGGGCCACGAGGGAAGTGTGGCAAATATGTGACAGGAAATTCCATTCTGTCTGCTTGATTCTCGTCTCAAGTTTACACACATGCTTCAGCATTCCAGACACACTCAGCTGATTTATACGCCTCTAACCTAGATAGCTAAAGTGTTAGCAGACATGTCATGTGAGGAACAGTGGTCATGTTTAGTCACATGATTAATTTATGATTCATCTCTCATAGAGAGGTGGCTGACTATTGGTTATTAACTATGGGCATTTATGGTATACTTTTAATGTATCTTTAAAAACAACATGTCAGTTTTCAAAGATTGACTAAACAAAACAGTAAAAACAAAGAGAAATCACCCCATAATAAAATCAAAATAAAAAGCTGGCGATTGCTTACACACTACCGTTCAAGAGTTCTATCAATTTTTTCAGTGATGGCAAAGCTGATTAGCTGGAGCCATTACTCCAGTTTTCAGTCTCACATGATTCTTCAGAAATCATTCTAATATGCTGATTTCTTGATATGTACTCATTGATATGTGAATCTTTTTTTTTTCAGGATTCTTTGATTAATAGAAAGTTCAAAAGAACAGCATTTATTTAAAAAATAAATCTTTTGTGATTTTATAAATGTCACTTTTAATTAAATTAATGTCCTTGCTGAATAAAAGTATGAATTTATTTTTAAAAATATATATAATAATAATAATAATATATATATATATATATATATATATATATATATATATATATATAGAATCTTACTGACCCCAAACTTGAATGGTAATGTACAATATACAGTTATTATATATTAATTCATAAATGAAACCAACTACAACATGTATAGACTTACAAAAATATTTTTACTCCATTTTAAAATGCTAACATTTGACAATATCAGTCCCAGAAACTTTGAAAGAACATTGCAATGACCTACACTGCAGACATGGCATGACAACAAGGTGGCACAGATACATCTGTCACAGATTTCTGTGACCTACCAGTACAGGAAATACAAACAGAATAACTAATGAACTATGTGAAATTAGGATCTAAAAGTCGCTATGACAGTAAACCCAGCCAAATTTCAGGGTCATATATCTAGGCCAAATACCAGCAGCTGTTGTCTGTTCATTAGCATTTGTGTTAATGGACAGCTGACATCATAAAGTGAGATCCAACAGGATCAAGTTGGAATACCTGGGTGTTTGCGGTGGGAAAGGACACTCCGTCTTCTTTGAGGGACTTGATGGTGGCACTGATGAGACTCAGCTGTGCGTCTTTCTGGAAATCTTCGGCCCACTCCACCATCAAGGCCTTGAGTTTCTCAGCAACCTTTGGGTGAACCTGAGGAGAAGAGAACGAGGATGGTAGACATTATCAACAGACAAGCAAGTTTATTATACTTTGAAACAAGGATTTGTCCTGTTGTATGTAATTACCTTTTAATTTATGCAGTGAGCTAAAGTTCCTTACCTTGTTCAACACACCACGAACTTCACTGGCAAACTCCCGCGAGCAGATTTCTAGGTGAAAGATTTTTCCGCTGTTTGAAACGCAGGCACCCAGCAACTAAACAGAGAAAATACAGCAATATCTGAGTAACCATTATTTGCATTAAAAAAAAAACATTTTAATCAATGAATTTCCTGTTATTTGAACATACTAGATACGTATTTAAAAAAAATAATTGATTCAGACTGATTTTCGAACAGGCATTTGTGAACAGGTCAATTCAAATGTATATTCACAAAAAAATTCTGGAAAATGTCATTTAAAAACTTCCTGATACTTCTAGGATTTCCATGACAATCAAAACAATTTTCTATACAAGCAGTGATTGCACACTTGTTACATTTCTATAAATGTTTATGCTTCAAATGTGCATAAATGAAATGTGATATCATAATAAAGATTATTAATAATAATAATAACAATAATTCTGACAAGTATATAACTGTTTATTCTTTGAATATGTGTAAATAAAATGCAGACACAAAATAAAGATTCATAATAATGATATTAATCATAATAATTCTTGTTATAGTTGTTATTGCACACTTGTAACATTTCTATAACAGTTATCACTTTTAATGTGTGTAAATTAAATGTGACATCATGATAAATATTAATACTACTACTAATAAATTGTATTATTCCTAACATTGTCATCATTATTGTAAAAATTACATATATTATTATTACAACAAATTCAGCAACTCAAAAAATAAAAATAAAGAGCGCATCAACCCACTTTATTCCTCTGTAATACATTTTTGTAAAGATACAGCCAGATGAGATATCTAAAAATAGATTGAGACATCTATGCAGGCTGAGATTTTGGGGAGTCAGAGTGGGAGCCCACAGAGATGTCTGTCACTTCCAGATGCTACAGAGCGCTCTGGAGTTTTTACAGCTTTAGTTTCTTCGATACTAGTTTAGTGTGCAGTGACTATATGCAAGCCATACATAGGTTAATTGTCGTCATGAAAAGAAACACTGTGACAACTCATATCGCTTACTAAACTGTGGGTGTAACTCTGTTTGACTACAATGGGAACTGAAGATGAAGAGCTCACCGTTAATGCTTGCATGGCTACATGAGGGACCTTGTGGTTCACACGCTTCATGATTGACCTGAGACAATCCTTTGCACTATGCCAGAAAAAAAGAGAAAACGACAAAGAGGGGCATGAACATTTATATTAGGGAGAGGTGCACCATTTTTCTACATTAAAATTAAATAGAAATTAATATTTAACAAAAAAGGTATCTATATAAGAAGAACAATAATGCATACAAGCAACATGAATGTTATTAATTGTTACTAAAATAAGCATTAAAAACACATAGTTATTTAAATCTTGTTTGTATGCTGCTATTTCAGCTCACCCATTGGGAGTTGTCCCGACCCGGTCACAGATATCCATAATGAGGCACCAGTCCTCTGATGTGCTAGTTTCACTAGTTGCTTTCTCTGAATATGCAAATGAATAAGCATTCATAAAAAGACAAATTCAAATGAAACTCTCAAAGCTAATTTTCTCTTATTACAGAGCCATATCATAACTTACCATTTTAATTTAAGTCAAAGTGCATGCTCAAAAACTTAATTTACCAAAAAGGCCATAAACGCACAATACCGAGTATAATAATAATAATAAAATAAGTGTGAATATTATCTGATTTACATCCTAGCAATTGAAGAACAAGTCTTTAATACATATTTATTTATTATATGGCTTATATCCATCCCGTTAAACAGACAAAGTAGCCTGTTTTGCCTGTTATTTTGCATATCCGGCTTGTCTCAACAGGCACAACGACCATTTCTATGATAATACACTAGTGTAGATTAGTTTACCCCTCCTTCAAGAATAAAACAACTTGGGCGCATTTGAATGACTAACATAATGAAGACAGGGAAATTTGCATTGCGACATCCAACAAAGTACAACTTGAAATAAAATGAACAACAATCAAGTGTTCAAACCACTCTACAGAGGAACATACAGTGTCACAAGTTCATTCACATTAATCTCTCAGGACAAAACTATGAAAAGAAAAACATTGTTCATACTATTGACAAATGAACTGCTATTAATCTTTCAGTCATTCATGCTTACTGGAAATGGGTTAAATATAAATATATATATGTATTTATTTTTTGGGTGGAATTTTTTATTTATTTTTTTTAAAAGCAGGACGTTTTGATTATATAATATTATATTAGGAAGGTACTATACTACATCCTGTTAGATGTACTTTTCATATTAAAATATCACGGCATAGCCTTAACAGGAAATATCTTCTAGTTAAAAAAAACGTTATTTATTGTAATCATAAACGTGATACACTTTGATAAACTTTGTACTTAATCCCCAAACAACTCAAAATCACTTTTTGACAGAGTAACGTTACTTAAACTAAATATTGAAAATGTTCAGTGTTCATCTGAAAAGTTGCAGAAATGTAGAACAATATTTTAAGGATGGTGTCAGTTCTGCTAATAACGTTTGACAGCTTTAATCGTTAAATCCCGATATTTAAGGGATCAGAGAAACCGAGGAAATAAACCAAACAAAAAGCAAAGATCTTGAGGATATGACAGGGAGCAATGCGCTGGATCGGCCCTGTTAACCGACTTGTCAATATCACATCACTTCGACAAACACAACACTGTCAAACTCACCCACATCCTGATCGAACGGGTTTTGACCAAATAAAGGCATTTTGAGACCTTTTCCTATCTATTAAATGTTAAATTCACGCGTATTATCTACGTATATCGACGATTTATCGTTCTCTCATCCATTAAAATGCGTCCACTTCTACCAGTTGCTCTTCCGTAAACTTAGAACGCAACCGCAATGCCTGTCAAGAAACCGCAGACGTGTCACAACAGTCAAATGATTCTAGATTTCAAGTTGTATTTAGTATTTCTATTAAGACTACACAACTACATTATTAAATTATTTCATTTTGTGTTTTTATCAATCTATATTTCCGACAGGCATGTAAGTTGAGACCTTAGTGTGCGTTCTGAGCTGAGCAGGAGACCCGCACTGCCATCTAGCGATTGGAATATATGTTTCTGAAATTCCCAAAATTCAACACAAATATTACAATTTAATAATATTATATTTATTATTAATAAAAATGTAAAAAAATATATATATATATGTGTTTGGTAAACATGTCTGTGAATAAGCGAATCGAAAATGTAACAGAGTGACACACAAAACATAATTTACACCCTGTCCTCGCCAGGGGGCGCTCCATTCATCAGCGCCTTCTATATACATGTCAGCAAGGCCACACGCCTTTATTCACTCACCGGGACCATTTGGATGATCCAGTGTTTCTAATGCTAGTTCAGTCATGTCGGCACCTGCCATGGGGACCAGCAAAACAGCGCACACTGATTCCAGTAACAAGAAGAAAAAGGGACCCGGAACGCTGGCCACCGCATATCTGGTCATTTACAACGTGGTTATGACAGCGGGGTATGATGAAAATCAAATGCGCTTCCGTGCTCTCTGTCCAAGCGTGTGGCAGTAAGAATGAATGGTTAGATTTCAGACAGCGTGCTCAAAGTGCTTGACAGATTCGCGGTGACCTCCCCCTTTGAGTTTAAATTGCATGCGTTAGCACAGTTTGTTTTGAAATGACAATAAATGGACATTATTCTGAATATTCTGGTAATGTATTGCAAAGTAAATCCTATTAACGCCTATTTAACACGCCATCAGGGCTGCTGGGTGACAGGGTCATTGGTTGCATGCATGAATGCATTGTTCTTATTTTGCAGTAGCGGGTCTGTTGTTTGTGCAGTTAGATGACATTAATGGACGCACGAATGAATTTAGTGTATTCGTTAGTTTAAATGTAGCTATATACAGTTCAATAGGCAGTAGCTGGTGTGGTTAAACAGTGAATAGTAGTGCACTTTACCCATTGTAACCCCGAAACTGTTGCACAATTATGTCCTTTTCGGAAACGAATCGATTAACCTATTCGTTTTGAGGTGGGATGTAGGAACAATAAACACAACATTTGGAAAAAATACATATAGATTAATTTATATAGTGATAAATAGCTACAGGTGCATCTCAATAAATTAGAATGTCAGCACTTCATGCTTCCTTCTGCTGACCAGCTTTTTGAAGATGCTGATTTCATTTTCCAGCAGGATTTGGCACCTGCCCACACTGCCAAAAGCACCAAAAGTTGGTTGAATGACTATGGTGTTGGTGTGCTTGACTGGCCAGCAAACTCACCACACCTGAACCCCATAGAGACTCTGAGATAGTGAATTGGTGGGTTTTTGTTAAATGTGAGACAAAATCATCACAATTAAAAGAACCAAAGACTTAAACTACTTCAGTCTGTGTGCATTGAATTTATTTAATACACGAGTTTCACAATTTGAGTTGAATTACTGAAATAAATGATCTTTTCCACGACATTCTAATTTATTGAGATGCACCTGTATATTTGAGTAGCTACAATCTAGTGAAATATTGGAGTTTTTTTGCTCTCTGTGAATGCACACATGTATTTCTCTTCTAAAACACTTTGTTTTCACTGTTTTTAAAAGGTGCTATGTAATAAAGTTACTTACTAAAATCTATTTTGCTGCCAATTTCAACCGTAAAAATAAAATCCGCTTGTAGCCTACCCCTAAAAATCACTTGTGTAGGCTAATGATTCAAATCTAAGTATTTAAGTATCCGAACTAACGAATAATCAACGTTTTGACCGGTTATTGTAGATTTCAGTCCTTATTTTAAGTTATTGCACTCAAACAAAGCAAATGTAATCGACTCTTAATGTTTTTGAGCCGAGCATGACTACAAAAAAATCACTACAGAAGTTTACATGACTTTTAAGATTTTATAACGTTGCTTTCCAGGGCTTGGAATGACGAATCGTTCTTTTGAACCGAATAGTTTTCAAATCACTCGAATGTAAGTGAGGAATCTGTTTTTGACCGGTTTTCGAACTTTTCGAACCAACTGATTCATTCAAATGAATTGAACTTCCCAATGCGGTTGCTGCAGCAGCAGTAACCAAACCGGGTTTGCTACATTTTCGCAACGTCTGTTGACCAGAATGCAGTCAGGAATAGTTTGATGATGCAATTCAGTCGATGCTTTTTAGTTAGAGACCATTTCATGATATCTCACAGAGACATTAAACGCTGTCCAATAATGTACTGTGTGTATTGTTTTGAATTTGAAATCACAATCCAGTCCTGTTTGCCTTAACTGATTTTAAAATACTTGAGCTGTTAATGTTTTTGGTGATATTTAGATAAAGATGATTGTGCTGCTAGCAACATGGTTTTGATGCTCTTCTATCTTCATGTTATACCAAGACTTGCACATATGGCCGTGACAGATAAAGGAAGTTAAAATAGAAAAACACAACTTTTGAGAAATTGGAGTGTGTATTCTGGTGTATATTTTGCATCAGTACAATAAATGTGCTGGATGTATTTGAATGAAATTGCCACTATTTGCTGTTAACTGCTGTGCTGTAAGAGATTTGCATGCAGTTCCATGCCTGTGTGCATTGCGGAAATGCTCTCCTCTCTCAAAGCAAGGACGAGTGGCTCTACAGATTTACTCTATGAACCTTTTTTTTTTTATCTAGATGGCTGGTCATTGCTGTTGGTCTGGTTCGAGCATACCTTGCCAGGGGAAGTTACCATGGTCTTTATTACTCGATAGAAAAGCCCCTAAAATTCTTTCAGACTGGTGCCCTTCTTGAGGTGAGTGTTATGGGAGCTATATTCATTTAAATTAATTCATAATTCTGAAGTAAACTATATATTTTTGCAAAAAAATGTGTAAGTACACAATTAATATATAGAAACGGAATCAGCTTTATTCACCAAGTGTGTGCAAACACAAGGAATTTGTTGGGTCTAATTAAGGAGCTCTTGGTACATGCATGCAGATGAGAACAGAAAGAACATTTAAATAAGACTAAAGAAAAAACAAACTATAAATAATAATAATGTGGTATGAATCTGGAACAGAAGATTTACAGTGGGGGAAATATTTATTTGATCCCCTGCTGGTTTTGTAAATTTGCCCACTTACAAAGAAATGAAGGGTCTGTAATTTTTAATGGTAGGTTTATTTTAACATATGGAGACCTAATATCAACCAAAAAATCCCCCCCCCAACCCCCACATTATATAAAGGTTAGAAATTGATTTGCATTTCAGTGAGTGAAATAAGTATTTGATCCCCAAGCAGAACATGACTTAGTACTTGGTGCAGAAACCCTTGTTGGCAAGCACAGGTAAGACATTTTTTGTAGTTGGTCACCAGGTTTGCTTGAAGTGGGTACATTTTTACAAGGTAATCCTTGAAGACTTATCCATGACCCATCTTCAGTGTTCTGGCTGAAGGAAGGAAGTTCTCGTCCAAGATTTTACAGTACGTGGCCCGTCCATTTGCCCCTCAATGCGGTGAAGTCGTCCTGTACCCTTTGCAGAAAAACAGCCCCAAAGCATAATGTTTCCACCTCCGTGCTTGACTGTAGGGATGGTGTTCTTGGTGTCATGGTCAGCATTTCTCATCCTCCAAACACGGCGAGTCGAGTTAATGCCAAAGAACTCAATTTTGTTCTCATCTGACCACAGCACTTTCTCCAAAGGCTTCTCTGAATCATTTAAGATCATTAACAAGCTCCTCCCGTGTAGTTCGGGGCTGATCCCTCACCTTTCTCATGATCATCCTTACCCCATGAGGTGAGATCTTGCACGGAGCTCCAGACCGAGGCCGATTGATGGTTGTTTTAATCGCACCAACAGTTGTCTCCTCACCAAGCTTCTTGCTGTGATGGTCTTGTAGCCCATTCCAGCCTTGTGCCGATCTACAATCTTGTCTCTGACATCCTTTGACAGCTCTTTGGTCTTGCCCGTGGTGGTGGGAGAGGTTGGAATGGAAGATACAGATTGTGCGGACTGGTGTCTTATACACCTAACGAGCTGACATTAGGAGTAACTTCTTAAAGTGACAGGACTAATCTGTGTTCCACATGGGCACATAACCAGTCTGTGGGAGATAGAATTCTTGCTGGTTGGTAGGGGATCAAATACTTATTTCACTCACTGTATGTAAAGATTTGTGCATTATTTAATCTATATACAGCTTTATAAATAAAAATAACAGTATAAATAATTCATTATAAATAAAAGTCACTTTAGATAAGTCCTCTGCTAAATGCATAAATATACAAATATGTTTGAACACACACTACTGTTCAAAAGTTTGGGGGTAATTTTTTTTTTTCTTTTTATTATCTTTCTTTCTTTTTTTTTCTTTTTTTAAAGAAATCAATAATTTCCAGCAAGGACACTTTAAATAGAGTGACAGTAAAAAAAAAATTACATAATATTACAAAGAATGAATATTACAAAGTAATATTACAAAGAATCTTAATGTGGCGAGGCTGGATTTTCAGCAGCCATTACTCCAAATGGCTGCTGAAAATCCAGCCTCGCCACATTAAGAGATTAAATTTTAGATAGAAAACTGTTTTTTTTTTAATTTACTTTAAATTGTAAAATTTGTCTTACATATTACCGTTTTTTTTTTAAACATTAAAAATATTTTTCTAAATCATACTGACCCTGAACCTTTTGTACTTACAGTGGGGAAAAAAAGTATTTAGTCAGCCACCAATTGTGCAAGTTCTCCCACTTAAAAAGATGAGAGAGGCCTGTAATTTTCATCATAGGTATACCTCAACTATGGGAGACAAAATTAGAAAAAAAATCCAGAAAATCACATTGTAGGATTTTTAAAGAATTTATTTGCAAATTATGGTGGAAAACAAGTATTTGGTCAATAACAAAATTTCATCTCAATACTTTGTTATATACACTTTGTTGGCAATGACAGAGGTCAAACATTTTCTGTAAGTCTTCACAAGGTTTTCACACACTGTTGCTGGTAATTTGGACCATTCCTCCATGCAGATCTCCTCTAGAACAGTAATGTTTTGGGGCTGTCGCTGAGCAACACGGATTTTCAACTCCCTCCAAAGATGTTCTATGGGGTTGAGGTTTGTGTGGTTGTGGGGGTGTGTGTGTGGTTGGGTTTATTTTTATATATTTTTTTTTTTTTTTTTTTTTTTTTGGACATTTGCTTTACCTGATTTCACATTGTGGAAATGTATGTTATTTTCTCACCCTACAGAGTTTAATTTGATTATTTTTAATGCTAAAATGATAATTCCTTGAGGCTGATTGCACCTTATAATATTTGTTCTGTGCTCTCTTCACAGATATTGCATTGTGCCGTGGGTAAGTGCACCCTGCTGCTAATAACAGTCTCTTATTAATTTCTACTATAAATATGCACTAGGTGAAGTATATAGACCAGATTGGCTATACAAGGAAAGCTTTTTTTAACCCAGCAGTGCCATCGTCAGCGAGGGTGCTGCTTTCTCTGCCAGTCTGACTGTGATAATGTGATAAAGAGTCTCACTGCACCCGTGGAGCATAGAGTTCACAGTCCACACCTCATTATCTGGGACTTAAAGCTTAATGTGACCTTTCCCAGTGTAAACAACCAGTGCTGCAGCACTCCCTTTACATCATAACCATCCTTGCTCTCCTAAAGTATTTTATTCTAATGATTTTAATTCTGTTTTATGTCTCTCTCATCATGTTTAGTGTAATGGATTAAGATTATTTTTATACTTGCTTTATCGGATTCATAGTTTACTCTGATTAAAGCCACATTACAAAAATGCAAATGATTAATCTCTTTACACAATATTTAACATTTTGTGAAGGAATTGTTCCCTCCTCTGTGGTCCTGACTGGGTTCCAAGTGATGTCACGAGTATTCCTTACCTGGGCAGTGACACACAGCGTTAGGGAAGTAAGTTTATGTTTAAAGTGAAGTTTATTCAAAAATGTGTTCCAAACCTGTATGAGTTTCTTTCTTCTGTTGAACACAAAATAAGATATTTTGAACAATGTTGTTAACATTGGCTTCCATAGTATGGAGAAAAAAAAATTATTATACAAGTTAATGGCTATCAACAACTATTTGGTGCAACATGAGGGTGAGTAATTGATGACAAAATTCGCATTTTTGGGTGAACTATGCTTTTAACTTTGAATATGCGGCAGCGTTATTTTAGAATTATTTATAGTAATTATAAAGTATTATTGAATTTTTTTTATAATATTTTACATCTGCTGTAATTTTTTTTATTAGTTTAATTTTTATTTTAAAATATTTAATTATTTATTTTGTGTTGTCATTTTTATATATTTTTTATTATTTTAAAGTTTTATTTAATTTTAATGCTTCAACTTAAAATTATTTTATTTCACTTAGTTTTCATGTAAGTTTAAGTGGGAAACACTTTGTAAAACTAACATTTATATTTTATTTTATTTCAACTTTATTTCAACAATTTTTAATAGTTTTATTTTGGTTTTAGTTAAAAATAACATGTTTTACTTGTTCAGGTGACCTACAGTATTAATGGTATATTATGATTATTTAAAAAAAAAATGATGTCAGGTATTCTCATGGTTAAAAAAATACTGGATATGAAAATCCTAATCAATATCTCAAATTACTCATGAGCAATGTACAGGTGCATCTCAATAAATTAGAATGTCATAGAAAAGTTCATTTATTTCAGTAATTCAACTCAAATTGTGAAACTCATGTATTAAATAAATTCAATGCACACAGACTGAAGTAGTTTAAGTCTTTGGTTCTTTTAATTGTGATGATTTTGGCTCACATTTAACAAAAACCCACCAATTCACTATCTCAACAAATTAGAATACTTCATAAGACCAATAAAAAAAACATTTTTAGTGAATTGTTGGCCTTCTGGAAAGTATGTTCATTTACTGTACATGTACTCAATACTTGGTTGGGCCTCCTTTTGCATGAATTACTGCATCAGTGCGGCGTGGCATGGAGACAATCAGCCTGTGGTACTGCTCAGGTGTAATGGAAGCCCAGGTTGCTTTTCCACGACATTCTAATTTATTGAGATGCACCTGTATATAATGAGCAACATTTCTCTTTTTGTCTCATTGAATCTGGTCTACTGCCATCTAGTGGATTTCAACAGCTTGTATAATATTTCAATGCTCATCAAAAATCCTGCATTAGTAGAATTTAAGTGTGAAGAAAACAATGTTATTTATTTTAAGTTCTTTGACACTAAGAATCAAGTTCTGATTGTCCATCCCAGAGAAAGACGTCTGAGCTGAAGTGTGTATTTCTGTAAGTTATTCCAACGAGAAACCTGCTTGAACCAAAACTGGGGAGTAATACTAATATTTAACATGTCCATGTCTGCCTGTGTAGGTTGCTAAAATAACCTCCTTTCAAGCCTGTATGTGTGTAGAAGTGAAGTTGGAGCCTTTGAATGCTTTGTGAAGTGCTTCCGTTTCCGATGTTCTCAGTAGTCCATCTTTGTGTGTCGAGTGGCTTCAGTGAATTGCGATGGAACAGTAGCAAACATAACCGCATGGTTCTCGACTAAATTTTCCTGCTTGCTGAGCAGTTCTGTCTCTTCCCTGTGTGACTTACAGTTTCTCTCGTTTCAGGTCCAAAGCGAAGACAGTGTTCTCCTCTTTGTGGTGGCCTGGACCGTCACGGAGATCATCCGTTACTCTTTCTACACCTTCAGCCTGCTCAACCATCTGCCTTACCTCATCAAAGTAGAAGCATGACCCTTAACTCAAATAAAAATGCCAATATTGTCAAGCTTTTGATATTCAAGTTCTGCATGGGACCAGCAAACTTTGTATGAATAGTAATATGATGATATATATTTACAATAAACCATAATACGGGAAGCAAAGCCATTTTGTTTTTATTATATATGCTGAAGTGCTTCATCTTCCTGATATTTTAGTATTTAACTGCGGTGTAATTAAAAGCATCGTGTCTTAAGTATATTTCACTTTATGTCAGTATACTGTTACTATTGGCCCGGTTTCACAGATAGGGCTTAGTTTAAGCCAAGACTAGGCCTGAGTTAAATTAAGATATTTAAGCAGCTAATATAATAAACGTATTTTAAGATGTCAGAGCAAGATATTTTCAGTTGAGAAAGCTCAAACCTGCATTTTAGTCTGGGACTAGTTTAAGCCTTGTCTGTGAAACCGGGGGGTTAAGTTTTATAGGCTTTTATGGTATCTTAGTAAAAGGGGACTGCAGCATATTCATCCGATCTTCACACGAGGGCAGTAGAGATCTATCTTTGACTCCAGCATAAAGGCTGATATATTTTAATTGCACACGTTCTGTGCGCTCCATTGTCAGAAATTAACAATATTAAGGAGCAATATTTGCTTCCTGGGGTTTGATTTTGGCCATTTAAAAACAATGCATTTATACTAAATCTACTCAAATATATTTCATGTCAAAATACATGCTTATTTCACTAAAGTAACCTTTCCTTTTTGAATAATTACAATAATTTACTTGACTTCGAATAAGAAGAATTCAAAAATATATATCTGGTGTTTTAAAATTGTAAAATTGAAATCTTAATTTTTTTTTAAAGTTATATTTATGGGCGTTTTCTGCCTTTATTAGGACAGGAAAGCATTGCGTGGAGCGCTAGGGCAGCAGGATCGGCAAAGGACCTCAAGACTGGACTCGAACTCGGTTCGCCGGCAGTTGCGCGGTATGTCGGCGCACTAACCACGAGTTTATTGGCGTTTGTAAAGCTGAATGGAAACAAACAATTATATAATAAAACAGATTCCTTGTCCACTATCCACAGTTTGAAATCATACCGATGAGATTAAGATAATTTACACTCTTTTTTAAAGTTTTTGATTTTCGATTATATTTGAGTTTTCTTAAAGCATGAAAAAGCATTCCGTGGTGTTCAAAATTAAAGTGGGACGAAATAGATTTAAAGCAAATTTCCTTAGGGGTGTATCTCAGCATCTCATCTGTTTAAAGGATGGGAGTCATGAGACCTGTGAAAAACAAAACCGAGGAAGCATGACTCTTGAATGCAAACAACAAGATCTTTTGTCTTCTCAAGCTGACACAAAAAAGTTGAATTCTCTTCACACAGCTATTGCCAGGCTGACAGAATCCTGCATTCTGAAAACGTGTCAACACACTGGGATGATAAACAACCGACAACTTATCCCACACTAGGAGGAAAACGATGTAATGTCTGTTGAATGATGAATAAGTGAATGATTTCATTTTTAAAAAGTAAAAAAGGAAAGTAATAAACATGAGAAAAATAAACATTCCCATGCACATTATTCATATAAATATTTGTATATTTACATAAAACATCCACTAAAAGGTTTAATATTCTGAATATCTGTAAAAAGCGGTTTAACAAAAAATATACATTTATACCAAAAATGTGGTTTGACATAAATTATTTATCTCCCATATTTATTTAACCCCCCTCCCCTCCACTTTATTAGCATAACAAACAAAACAAACAATTTCCCCCACTCTGCATTACAAACAGCTGTGCGGATAGTCCCGCCCACTTATCCAAATCACGGTGTATTGACACACAGGTTGACCAATAGAAAAATTGATTGGCAACTTATGCAACCTTCTATCCAATAGAATCGCAGATAAGGCGGGGCCTAAAGATCACACTTGGTTGAATGGAAATACAAAGACAAGTAGCACCAAAACGAAGGATAACGCTTAATCAATTCTGTGTGCGCTTCGGTTTTGTTCATCTGCAGGGAAAGGACGCGCAGCTCCATCCGGCACTGTCAATACGCAGCTCCGCGCGAGCAGGGCGGATTCGACGCTCCTGTGGCGTGACAACTCATCTTCTCATCTAGACGCCAGCGCTGGTGATATTGCTGCTACTGCAGCAGGAGCGTTGGAGATACCTATCTGCACAGCACGGATGAAGACTCCTTCACCAAAGGACACTTGTGAGGTCATCTTGTGGTGACGCAACTGGCCATGCAGGAGCGTTGGAAAGCTCAGGTTTTCACAGCAATCATGATAATCATCTAGTGGGCGACCTCTTATTCACAGGTGCACAGCTTGCGTGGATCAATGCATAGGCTACTCACCATGGAGTCGTGCTCTGCACTTCTAGCTCAGACCAAACCACACTTTTGCGGACACTATTTGCTCCTGTCATGAAACCGTGGAGATCTAGCGTGATGGGCGTAGGGTCAGTTCTCATTAATCTTGACTAAATAACGCAGTTTTAAGGAGTGTGCGAATTATTCAGTGACTTAATGGTGGGCAGACTATTTTGTTTGTTAGCTTCCGTTTATCGACGATACGCGCTCTGACTAACTTGTATAATAACTCTTAACAGTGCTGAAACGACTAACTTATATAACTCTTAACAGTGCTGAAACGACTAACTTATATAACTCTTAACAGTGCTGAAACGTTTCAAACATATATACAGGTCTACTTACCTACATATACTGTATAATTGTGTATAAGTCTTAATTAGGGGGTTGAATCGCTAAAATGCCCCCTAGTAATTTGCACCCAGGGGTGGTTTGTGCATTAGTGCATTAGTATCTATGAATGGAAACGGGGCGCACAATTACTCCCTCTGCGTTTACCTCCTCTAAGGCTCTAGCCACCCGAGGATGTGTCCCAAACGACTACTTTGTATATTTAATCATTTAAAGTCCTCTGTGATGTAAAAGCGAGCGGATTGACTTGCAGAATGTGTTTCTCTCTCAGAGAGTTTGACTAGAACGACTGTAGCCTACCCACTTTACATTGGTCCTAATTTATAAAAGCAGTATGCAAAATGCTGCTTTTATAAATTACAAAATGGACCACTTTTACTAGTTCTTTTTTCAATGAGATGCACGTCTATATATATCACGCACACATCATTTTGGTTTGGGCTACTTTTTATTTTAAATCACCAGCTAACTGCAAAGTTGTGTCTTAAATGGGCAAATGACTTTAATATAGGCTGTGTTCCCCCAAAGTAACCCCCTCTTTAGTGTAAGAACAATTTATTTGGGATCACATACACATGATTGACAAGTGTAATAGCCTATACAGTGTGCGAATAATTTAAATCTGTCACCAATCTGTTTCGGTTCGTTTCGCGTAACCCATTTTGGTGTCTCTTGCACAAAAACAAAACGCTAACGGCTTTATTATACATTTGTGTCGTTGCACCTATAGTAACTTAATAAATAATAACAGTAGTTATGTATCGTTCAATACAAACAGCTGTTAAGCAGCTGTTGCTATGGTTTCCTCCTCAAGCAAATGCAGTTTCTGTTCGCGAGTGTAGGCTGTAGATTTAGCGCACTCCGACTAACTTGCGCGGCTACTGAAACGTTATTTGAAAACGTATATATGTTTATGTAAAAACAAAACAAACTCGTAAGACCTCCGAATTTTTCTTTGTTTATTAGGAAGTAAAAACCCCCATAATTCGCACTCTGAAGTCATTTATTGCATGTAGTACTCGAGATCATGTCCAGATCTAACAGCGTGAGCCCACCCGGCGCTGGCGCTCCTGGACTGAGGGGAGGGACGGAGCACAGATCCGCTTGGGGCGAGTCTGAGTCCGTGGCGAACGGATGTCCATACTCGGCCAGATCCTCCTGCAAAAAGCTCATACGGTCCAACAGCCGGTGGAGAGAGGACGATGACTTCGAGCGACAACCGGGCCGAGCCACGACCACCGTCAGCCGGGTTAGTTTCAGATCCAAGTCTGCCTGGCAAGAACACGGGGAGGAGAGCCGCAACAATAACAGATCTTCCCCGAGGTACCGAGATGGAGAAGTGAGACCCAAGTCCGTGGAGCTGGGTTTGGAGGACAGGAGAACCAAATCCAAACCAGAGGAAGAGCTCATGCCTGAAGTGAACTTTTCCATGAGCGCGTGCTGCAACGGCGTGATGCAGATTTTCAAATCCAAGAAGTTCCAGTCGGAGAAGTTGGAGAGGCTTTACCAGCGCTACTTCTTCCGACTCAACCAGAGCAGCTTGACGATGCTCATGGCCGTCTTGGTGCTGGTGTGCGCGGTGATGCTGGGGTTCCACTGCACTGGAGTAGTGTGTCGGGTCACTTACGTGGTGGTTTTCTCCACGGCAATCTTGCTCATCCTCACGCTGATGGTCGTGTGCAACAGGAACGGCTTCCATCAGGATCACATGTGGATAGTTTGCTATGTGCTCATTTTGGTGGTGCTGACTGTACAGGTGATCGGTTTGCTGCTTGTGGAGCCGCGCAGCGCGTCTGAAGGCATCTGGTGGACCGTGTTTTTCATCCATGTCATTTACACACTTCTGCCGGTGAGGATGAGAGCAGCGGTCATCACTGGAATAATACTGTCTGCCATACATGTGCTGGTCTCATGGAAGTTAAACGAAATGGACATCTTTTTGTGGAAACAGGTTAGTACAGTGCATATTTATATTCTTTCATCGTTTGAATTAACCTCGATCTATCTATCTATCTATCTAT